CTTTGAATTGACTACAGTTATTCAAAATTGTTAGTCGTGGGCTATGGTGCTGCTTAAGTAAAATTTTTATATTAATATAGATGACCAAAATATTTTGTTGTGGTCTATGGTGCTATTTAAGTAAAGGTTTAAATTGATCAAATTGATTGAAATTATCTACCGTGGCCCGTGGACTACGGTACTAAAGTAAAAGTTTTGAATTGACTACAATTGATCTAAATTGTTAATCGTGTTATATATACTACTTAAGTAAAAGCTTTGAATCGACCAAAATTGACTAAAATTGCCCGTGGTTTACAATACTATTTAGGTGAAAGCTTTGAATTGACCACAACTGACCAAAATTGTTAACTGTGGTCTATGGTGCTACTTAAGTAATTAAAGATTGGATTGATCAAATTTGTTCTTTTTCTTCACTTAATTATCAATCTCTTTAAAATTTTCAGATAATAAATTATTTAATATGCATTTTCTAATGTACGGGAAAATGGGGGGAAAATACTCTAGCAGTTAGTCATATTCATAGGGGCCAAGAGAGATGTAAAGACAAGTCATTAGTCAAAAAGTGAAGTCAACCTTGGAAAAAAAAGACACAAGTTAGCCGCGTGGATGAGAAGAAAAGAAAAAAATGACAAGGAGCTGTGTTTATTAAAGAAAAGAAAAGGAATTTATTGAACAACAGCTTAGAATCAACAACTGCACATCATTGCGAACAATGGAGAGAGAGAAAGGCTTAAGGTGGTGGGATTCTGTGTTGCTTGCACTGCTTCTAACATATGGACTTGCGAGCTCCCAAGAGCAGAGCAAGTCCTGTGCTCCGTCTCAGTGCGGCATTATCACAAACATCAGACATCCATTTCGACTACGAGATGACCCGCCCGGCTGCGGTGATCCAATCTATGAGCTAGCCTGTGAAAACAACATAACTCTGCTTCATCTGAATTCAGCAACATACAGAGTGCTGGGAATTGACCACAGCAACTTCACAATCCGACTCGTAGATCCTGGAATTCAGGAGGGAAATTGCTCTTCCCTCCCTCACTATCTCTTATCCTTATCCAATTTCACTGATAGTCATAGCCGTAACCCCTATGACGCTATTTTGACATACAAACAATTTACATTCAAGCACGTAGTGTACCTAAAGTGTAGAGATCCAGTGAGGGACGACGTAGCATACCTGGACACAGCTCCCTGTGTGAAGTGGGAAGGAAAAAGTCATGTTTATGCTGTGGCTGGAGACCTGTCGGCTTACCAGTTAAAATCTCAGTGTCGTGTGAAATCAGTGGCCACCATAGCCTCAGATTGGGAGTCAATAGGAGATCAAAGAAAAAAGTCCTACACTGATATTCACATAGCGCTTTCCTCTGGATTTGAGCTTTCATGGTGGCGACGAGCTTGCATTGATTTTAAATGCCCAAGTGATCGTAATGCTCTTTAGACCCTAAAACAACAAGTCTCAGATGCGCTGCGTTTCCCAGGAGGTGCATCAGTCCCATGGGAATAACTGACGGTGAAGTGGGAATAAAATGTAGTCACTTTTCCAGTTTTCCATTTCTGGTTTAAATTAATAATTAATAACTTCAGTTTTTAATATAAGAACTGACTAATTTGAGTAGATTTGTTAAGTTAGTTATTTATAATAAATAGATATTATTTTTTTTAGAATACCCTTACTAATCATGTGTATTAACTAGAACTATTATTTAATGAAACCTTTAACTAAAAAGACTATTTTTAAAAAATAAATAACTATAAAAGACAATTAGGAACTTATATTTAAAATTAATTAAATATTTAACTTTTATTATTAAGAACCCAAGTATTATTTGCTCAAGAGCAGTACTCTTTACTTAACTCATATATTTTAACAGTTTTCTTGGCTTAAATGAAACAAACCTTTTTCCCGCTAAAATCAGTCAATGATTAATTAAAAAACGAATTTTTTTTATTGAGATTTCCATGTTCAACATGTTGACATTATATTTACGGTTTTTAATTTTTAATATTTCTGAGTCTTGCAGGTCATTTATCAAAGTTGCGCATATTGGCAGAAGGTAAATAATGAGCTTATTTACGTATATAAGAAAATTGATTACTTAATTATTTATTATTAAAAGGTCATATATCACTTTCCGTAACATATCCTGCTTATAAATTTTAAGAGAAAATAACATCCAATTGGATACTTATTTTGTATTCAATCACTGCCGTTGTTGACACTGCTAAAATTTCCTTGCAGATTTTCTTTATGGATTGGAAAAAGGTAAGGTTCTATCTCATCCCCGGCATATTTTTTGTTATTTTTTGAGTTTAGCCACGATTTTAATTTCTTAATTAATTAGTTGATCAATTTTAATATATCTTCTGATTATATATATTATTTTGATTTTTGACTTATAATTTGTGCCATATCTATCTTCATTTGGATACGCCAAATTAAAATGATTCTGCACATACGAATATATATATATATATATATATATTGGCCTGAGCACATACGAATATTAAGTGATTGAATTGGGAAAAGGGATCTTATATTTTACAAGTAAATTCCTACACTTTTTCGTCATCCTTCTAAAACAAATCCACGGCAATACCAAAACAACACTTCTGATTGACTCCTTATCTGTGCCGTAAACAAAAGTCTATATACTTTATATCTTGTCATGGTCAAAAATAAAAATAAACTTCATATAAATAAATGATGTTACTCATGATTTTAAATACTTTATAAATGTCAAACAAAGTTTCACTCCAAATATCAAAACTACGTCTCATCATATGATATCCACATGTCTTAAGAGGTGTTTGGATGGAAACCAAACAATAATTTTACAAGTGATTTTACAATATACAAAGTAAATATGTGAAGAAATTTATCTAGATTTGTAAAAAACTACTTTTAAAAAGCAGATATCCAAACACTTATTTATTGTCTTACTTCTCAGCGATTGTTTGTAACTCTATAAAAGGACATTGAATAGGCAAAATCAAAGATAGAAAAAAAAAATGTTTGAACCCAATATAAAAATTTTTTTTACAAATATTATTACTTATATTTTATACCTTGTTCTTGTTCAATTTGTTAAAATCCTCCTGTAAAAAATACTAATAATTAATTCTAAGGTTAATAGCATTTTTAACCCCTAAAATTTTACTTTACTTTAATTTTGGTCCTAAAATTTGAAACTAACAATTTTGGTTCTTGACATCTTGTCTCAAAGGCCAAAAATACTGTTCTAAGGACCAAAAATCATAAAAATAAATCAAATTCCAAAAATTAAAACTACAGCTGGTTTTAAATTTTAGAGACTAAAGCTAAAAAAAAAATTCAAATTTTAGGGACTAAAAATGATATTAATACTTAATTCTATGTATATTCAAAGTAGTCATATTCTTGTCACTATTAACCAATGATACGGTGTTCTTTTTTTTTTTTTTTTTGGGGGTGGGGAATGTGCAGGACTGGAGGAAGTAGAAAGGAAGGGTATATACCCTCACTACAGTGACACCGATTCTATTCTAACAAATCCAGCAATCAAATTAGGAATACTCACTGCAATAGGTCTTGTGCCATACATGATACTCAGATTTTCAATGGGGGTCCTACTACTATCCATATTGTTGATTTATAAATACCGGAGAAGGCACATGTCAATGTTTGAGAACATTGAAGATTTTATAAGACTTCAAAACCTTATTCCAATAAGGTACTCCTACAAGGAATTAAGAGCAATGACAGAGGGTTTTAAGATTAAGTTAGGCGAAGGAGGCTTTGGAACTGTATACAAAGGGAAGCTAAGAAGTGGATCTTATGTTGCTATTAAAATGTTGGGCAAATCCAAAGCCAATTGCCAAGAATTCATTAGTGAGGTTGCAACCATTGGGAGGATACACCATTTCAATGTGGTTCATCTTGTTGGGTTTTGTGTGGAAGGAACTAAGCGTGCTCTTGTTTATGAATATATGTCGAATGGATCTTTGGATAAATATATTTTTCCCAAGAAAGAAAGCGTCTCCTTGAGTTTTCATCGGATATATGAGATTTCTCTGGGAGTGGCTCGTGGAATACCTTACCTTCACCATGGATGCGATATGCAGATATTGCATTTTGATATTAAGCCCCATAATATTCTTCTTGATGATAATTTTAGTCCAAAAATTTCAGATTTTGGACTGGCAAGATTATATTCTGTTGGTGATAGTATTGTAACTTTAACCGCAGCAAGAGGAACAATAGGGTATATGGCTCCTGAATTATTTTACAAGAATATTGGAGGAGTTTCTCACAAGGCTGATGTTTATAGTTTTGGAATGCTTTTGATGGAAATGGCAAGCCGAAGAAGGAATTTGAATTCACATGTAGAACATTCAAGCCAACTTTACTTTCCTTTGTGGATTTATGATCACTTTGATGATGATAAAGATATTGGAATGGAAGATTTGACAGAAGAAGAAAAGGATTTAGCAAAGAAAATGTTCATAGTAGCACTCTGGTGTATACAACTAAAACCTGCAGATCGTCCTTCAATGAACAAAGTGATAGAAATGTTAGAAGCAAATGATGTTAAAGTCTTGAAATGCCTTCAAAACCTTCTTATATCCTAACGAGACTGTTTTTGTGGATCACATGTCCAGCTCAAGCCAAACAACATCCACTATTCATGGACATTCTCATAGCAATCTTGCGAGGTGAGGCCACAAGTAATAGAAACTAAGATGCAATTGAAAAAGGAGCTAGGTCAAAGCTCGTGGCTTTCTAAAGTTTGAACTTATCATATGTGTCCCATCTCAATATTTGTTGTTCGGATTTGGGTTTTGCCCAAATAATTCAGCATGTTGTTATCATTAGTAATGATGTTTTGCAATATCCTGAATATTATATCAGTAAAAAAATTCAAAAAATAATTAAATAATAATATTTTATTATTGTAAAATAATAATACTTTATTATTTAAAAAAAAAAAGAACACCTTTTGGTGGCAACATTTATTATGAAGAAGAAAACGGAGATGGATGGTTGAAGGGAGGAATTAATGAAAGAAGAAGAAAATAAGGGAGAAACAGTTGAAGGTTACACATAAAAGGAGCAAGAGACAAAGAAAGAAAGAAAGAGAGAGAGAGAGCAACAGGAAGAGAGAGACGGAGAGAGGGAGCGTGGAGAGGAATGCCTGCTATTTCTAAAGGAGAAGACAAGCTTTGGGGATAATTTAGGTACATAAAATTACTTCTTTTATTAAAATTTTTTCATGAATATTTTCTATATATTTTAAACTTCCTAATGAAAGTATTAATACGGTGATTAGAGAAAATTTTGAGATTTAGATATGGAGTAAGTATTGAGTTTTGATGAATGTTAACCATAGTATTGTAGATATAATATAGCAGATCATTTCTATCAATTTAGATTTGTCTATTTGTTGGTTTTAATATTTAAAAATTAATTTTTAATTTAAAAAATCTGTTATATATGACATATATCATATTTATACAGATCAAAATTAAGTTAAATAATTTATTTGGGTTGTTTGACATATTATTGAGATTTTAATCAATTTAGTTTTATTTACTGGGTGACTGGAGGCTTTAAAATAATTATTTTAAATAAAATTTTTATTATTTGTGGGGGGAAGATCTGATAGTTATACCATTAAAATTTGAATTAAATTATTTATTTATAAATATTTGAAGTACTATTGAATTTTTGATGATTTGGTTTTGAGGTTTAAACTTCAAATGGGATTTTTAAAAAATTTAGAACATAATAATTTCATATTTGCAAATTTTGAAAAATTCTTTTTATTAAAGTAAATAATTCGGAGGATCTAAATAAATAATTTGACTTGTCATAAAATTATAAGTTAATTCTAAAATACTTAATTTGGGTTATGAGAGTTGCTGAAATTTAGAATAAAAATAAATTAAATTAGAAATTTAACTAATATATAAGCTTAATTTTTTTTTGACCAGCAAATATAAGCTTAATTAATTAATTAGTTTATATTAATATGTGGTTATATTAATTGTGTAGATTAATTATTGGTTGAGTACAAGATTGACCTTGTGGTAATCCTTTTTATTGTTTTGGTGAGAGATAACTATTTTTCATTTGTTATATGTGCTAATATGTTTTGTGAGTATTTTGATATTTTGAAACAATGATATGCTATTTGAAACTCAGGGAGATATGTTATACCTTTTTAAGCTATGAAAATTATCTTGTGGAATTTTTGGAATTGTCACTAAGCCGTTTGAAAAAAAATAATTTATATTTTATGGATTTTATTGAGAAAAGATTAAGATATTTCTCATTATATTCTGAATGATTGGTTATTAATTGGATTTTGAGTTGAGTCTTGCTCTATCAAGTGGTAAGGTTGCCATTAATATACATTGTTGGCTTCCTTCGTCCCTTGTAGTAAGGGATATGCTTTTGTGGCTTCTTATTCATCTCCCAAAGTGAGAAATAAGCCTATATGTCTGATTGATCTCTTACAGTGAGGGATAAATTTATGTGGTTTGTGTGTTGACCCCATAGTGAGAGCTTGAATTATTGAAATTATCTTAGTACACATGTTTTATGTTTATATTGATATATCTATATTTTTCGAGAATTAATAACTGTCCCACTTGACACCTTCACGAACACATGTTAGTATGTATGATGAGTTAAAAAGTTGGTTATTAAGGCTTTTATCTCATCCCGTGATTTCTACTATTTTAGGTGATAGCTTAGGTGGTGGTCCATCAAGGAAGGCTCTGGAGGCTTAGTGTACTGTTCTAGCTTGTATAACCTCTCTTCTTTTGTTTTATATGCTGGTTTATGATATGTTGCCATATCAGGCTCATCTATTCTAATGTTATAAACTGATACTTTTGATTACTACTATCTAATATGGGGGGCTGTTAGAAGGCTGGAGATCTCTAAGACTTTTCATGTGACACTCTCTTGAAAGTTTTGATTTTTGATTAATGAACTCCATAGCTTAATTTAAAATGATTTATCAATTCATATGTTTAAAAGTATGAGTTTTGTTTGGACTAATGGTTGAATGGTATTTCTAGACTTTAGAAGTCCAAAGCCTAAGTTAATGATTGATATTGCCCGTGATATAAGTTTATTTATTTTAACTATAATAGTGGTTTTATAATTTTAAGATTTCTTCTTTTCTATCATGGTTAATCTTTCGAATAAATTATTTGATTCAATCTAAATGGGTTTTTGGAAGAACGGTCATCACATGTGTGATATGTGCAAAGACTATTAATGTAATCTCTTTCAAGCTTATAATCTACTACCTCCGACCCTTAATATATTAACTAATTTGATATTTAGTTTAGTTATATATATAAAATCTAAATCCATTTTGTCTACCGTTATCCATTTTTTCTAAAATAATTTTTGCAATAATTGCACATGTTAAAGATTCCATCGAGCAGTGATTTTAGTTAATATACATGATTAGCAATGGTATTTTAGGAAAGATAGCACATATTTATTAACTTAACAAAATTTTTTAATCTACTCAAATTATTAAAGTAACTCTTATACCAAGAACCAGAGGTAATAGTCACAATATATCTTTAAAACAATAAGCATCGCTCAAAATCTTCAATTGAAATCGATACTTATGTCTTACTAATTTGTAAAACATCCTATCTTTAACCCCTCAGGATACGGGTTTGAAGCGTTATGGTTCAAGCAATTCATGAAATAATCCGTAGATTGAACTTTGTGATTGGTTCTCGGGTTACTATTTACTGGTTAAATTCAGATTTTCAGTCCAAGTTTGAGCAATCATAACTCTTAACACACACATCCATTTTAAGTGATCTACCACTTGTTTTAAAGTTCAGGATGTGTACTTTCATTAGCAGAGTCAGTCATTTACCATACTTCTACTCTGTCACTATTTTGTTACTCAATTAGGGATAGCTTATACCCTAACTTGCACTAACAGTTCATGATTAAGACTTTCCATACGTAATGCCATTTCATTCATACACTAATCATTCCATACATTATCATAGGTAATTACACAAGCTAACATCATCATTTATTATCACATACTATTAATGGCACCTTTACAACATACATTGGTATATACAGTGTACAACGTAATATAATACATTTCTCAAATTCTTTTCCTCTCTTTCTTGCTCCACTTCTTGATTTCTTCTCCCATCCTCTTGCACTAGTATGATTGGTTAAGGGAGAGTGAGATTCGAAAGAATCTAGTAACAAACATTACCATTTATGCGTGCAAGATGGATGCAAGTATATGACATCCTTTTGTGCACAACTTTATCATTTATGCATGGTGAAATGCCATGGAAAGTAAGCCAGTTCATTCATATTCACAACATAATACCAAGGCATGCTTAACTAAACATAGCAATCATAGTTCAGCAGCATAGTTTAATCACATCATAGCATTAATAACACATACACACCAAGTACACAAGAAAGGTAAGTTCACTACCTTGTATCATAAGTTTTCTTTTGCTCTTCAACTTGCTCTTTTTTGCTTCTAACCATTAAGGTTGCTTCCTCAACCTTTATCATTCATTTTCCTTGATGTCTCATGGATTTAAATACACCAACACATCATTTCCATTCATTCATTAGAGCCATGGTAATCAACAACATTAATGCTTTGTTTTTTTTAGCTATATTAGCTTCTAACTTTTGAGCTTGATTTCCAACCTTTTCAAAATTAATTCCACATACTATTCCCACACAATTTTGTATGTAGAATCTATTTCCAAGCTCAAAATAATCAAAATCAAACTCTTCCCTACTCAACTTGATCTGGCTGAACATAGGGTCTTAAAGCTCAACATTCTACTTTCAATTCTAATGCTTCCAAACTTGTTTTCTCACTTTTAGCCCGCACAATTTTTCATTTTAAACACATTGGAAGTATCAAAATCATCAAAATCCAAATCCAAGACCCAAAAACCAGCCCTGGCCGAAATATTACTAAAGTTACATAATCAAGAAATTCAATCAATTTCAACATAAAACCACTTGATTCTTGTTCCTTTCAAGTCTTTAAACATTATTCTAACATCAATTTTATCTTCTCCTATTCTTAAGAATTTTGTGCAGCATGTCCCCTTAGAGTTTCAAGCTCCCAAAAATAATTAAAATCCATAACCAAGCTCAATAACAACAAGGGTAGTGAAAACTATATCAAAAACCACAAACATACCTTGTTTTGGAGCTTGATCTTGCATATGACCGCTTGGCCTTTCTTTCCCCCCTTCCTTCTCTCTCTAGAAACCATTTTGTCAGAGCTTCCCAAGGTTTCCTCTAGGTTGGACAAAAATGAAGGGTGGGGAGGCAGTATTTATAGAAAACAAGACTGAATCTGGGCCATTGATCTTAAAAATGTGTGGCTTGATCTGGACTGGCCATTTTCTCTTTTAATCTTATAGTGACAAGTGTCCTATGATATCATGCTTACCTCATTATAATGGCATCATACTTACATCATCAATCCACATGCTTTTAATCTAACCGCACACGTGTCTTGCATTCGACCGTACATGTGTCTTGCATC